TTATCAATTTTTACTATATTAGAAATTAAAACAGGCATTTTCAAAACAGTAATACACAAGTACATACTTGATTAGCTGTCAGAGTGAAGAGGTCATCTCTGGAAAATATTTAAACTCATGAAAAATGAGAGTGAAAAGGACAAATAATGTTTTAGTATTTTTATGAATATAATTTTGTCCTCACAGACCCCCTGGAAGGGTCTCAGGGGCCCTAAGGGTCCCTGGACCATACTTTGAAAACAACTTCCCTGGAGCAAATCTTGTACATGTGCACCAGGAGACATGTACAAGAACTCATTCATTCGTCAAATATTTACTGAGCATCTACCATCTGCCCTGCATTGTTCTAGACATCGTGAATGTCTCAACAGACAAGATCAGACAAAACAGGCAAAATCCCTGCCCGCAAGGAGCTTACACTGTAATTGGCAGAATGTTCAGAACAGCATTGTTTGATAGCCCAAAATGGAAAACAATCCAAATCTCCATGAACAAAAGAACAGATAAACAAACTGTGGTTTAGCATACAATGGAATACTGTACAGCAGTGAAAACAAATGAAATACAGTTACATGCATAAACAGGGATGGGAATCTCAAAAACAACGGTCAGAAAAAAAGTCACGGAAGGATATAATGCAGCATGAAATCATTTACATGAAAGTTCAAAATCAGGTAAGTCTAAACAACATACTATTAGGGATACATACATAGATGGGAGAACCATAAATAAAAACATGGGAATTATTAACAAAACATCCAGAATAATGTTTGCCTTGTGTGGTATGTGGGTTGAGGACAAATGGGGGGATTCTGGGTATCTGAGAATATTCTAGTTCTTAAGCTGAAGGTTGAATACATGTCTGGTCATTTTATTTATTTTGCAAAAAATATTTTAAAAGAAAAAAGATAATAAGATTATTTACTACATAATTTCATCAACCAAGAGAGGGAACATCTCCCCATATTTCAGCCACTGCTGTGCACTGCAAATCAGCTAATTATTATTATTATTATTTTTAAAGATTTTATTTATTTATTTGACAGAGAGAGACACTGCAACAGAGGGAACCCAAGCAGGGGCAGTGGGAGAGGGAGAAGCAGGCTTCCCGCAGAGCAGGGAGCCCGATGCAGGGCTCGATCCCAGGACCCCGGGATCATGACTTGAGCCCAAGGCAGACGCCTAACAACTGAGCCACCCAGGCACCCCTCAGCTAATTATTTTAACTGGTGGGGAATAAGTGCCTGATAATAGGGAAAGAAGAATGAGTATGGGCTATTCCTCACAGAAGTTAACTAGGTTCCCAAAGGTCAGGATCCATCGAGATGGCAGTATTACAGGACTGCTCTGCCAAGTTGAATCAGTCACCCGCCTGATTCTGGTTAACTGGTTACTTTGTTCCCTGGGTATAACCATTTGTATAAAGCAGAGAATACAGATGGGTGATGCAAATCCCAAAATAAATGGATGAAGACCCTGCCTCTTAACTGAATTCTGCTGACTCTCAAAAGTACAGATTCCCTTTGGCACATTCTCCTAATTATTTATGTACTAAGTAATCTAAAAATACAGAAAGTACATGGTAGTTACTGTTTCTCCACCCTGCTCAATAACAGGTGTCAGGTTGGGCACACAAAGGTCATAACAATTTTGCAATCGCGTCTTTGCCAAGGTCATTGCTGGCAGTGTCACTGTGCAGATTAAATAAAACATAGTTAAGGTGCGATTTTTCCTCAAAAATAGCTATTAATTTGGTATATAATTTCAAAATTTGAAAAGAAGAAAAAAAGAAAAAAGATTTTGAAACATTTGATCCAGCCCCTTTACCCAAACAGGGCAAGCTCAAGTTATTATCCCGGGTAGGGGAGTTCTTGCAAGAGGTAGACTAGGCCTGGCAGCAGAAGGCCTGCAACCCATTTCCAGGAAATGGGGAAGTCGAAGGTGTATTCTCCAGGTCCAGGGTCCCCAGCTTGGTCTAACACAGGGGTGCCAACTCATCAGAAAGTCCCAGACAGCTACAAGACCTAAAATCTCAACCATATTTAAGCTGGAAGGGACATGCCACCAGGTACATTGCAACTGGTGGCGGGAAGACTTCGTAAACGTGGGACCGGCTGAGCTTAGGGTCCTGCTACTCCACCATCTTGCACCCCCCCCCCCCGCAACTCCCACCCTCACAGCTGGTGGCTGTGGTGGCCGGGACAGGGACACTCTGGATCAGAAAGTCAGACCTAAGTGCCTACCCTAAGTGGCACACCTACACCTTTGTTATTCTGGATGGTCAGTATTATACCTGCAGCTTTTTCTTCCCTTTCCAATAAGAAACAGAGAAATTAGGAGGAAACCTTTCTCAAGTTCTTAAGGAATTTCCATTCTGTCTCCCCAGATTCAAGGAATGAATAATCCTCTTGGTCAGAGCTGGATATTTATTGGACCACGATTTACCAGTAGATAGAGTTATCTCATGTTCAAAAACAAATACCAGCTTCTACCTTTTATTTTTAACCTGTATATGCTTGGACACAACAGGTTCTCCTGTGCTTTCCTCAGTTCTCATGCTGAGCAATGATGGGTCCGTTAGCTTCTTGTCCCTGGGTGGCAAGAAGACCAGGAAGGGGGAGTGGGTAGGAAGGGGGCAATTTCCTTCTCTGCAACAGCTTTCCTATCTGATATGCCACCAACTCATACTTTTTACACTTTTATCTTCAGGAGTCAACACCCTGACATCCCTAAATACCCTGCAAAGACTTTTTGTTGACCCAGCAAAATCAAATCAGGAAATAGTGAATCCTTCTGTTGCTGCTGTACTCCATACCTATGTCTTCCTAGCCTTCTCTCTATCTAAGGCCAAAGGCTTTGTAACCCTGTATTCTCAGGACTTGAATGTGAGGCTCTGGCAGGAGTGGTATTCAGATTGTGAATATGATGACCTTTAAGTACCAGGCCCCCCAATTCAATTTATCCAAGATACTAAATATACAAAAGAACCTCACACTCAGTTTCAGATGACCTTGCTGAAATTAACAATCTCACAAGTGGACATTTTTTTTTTTAGTTCCTCAGAGGACAGGAAAGAAGCAAAGACATACTAGTAAGATATAGAAATCTATTTTGAACAAGGAGGCTAGTATCCTTGGATTTTATAGCCTTTCTTTCTTCTTCAGTTCATAGAATATTTTTCTCCCCAGAATGGTGCAGTTCATGTTTTTCCAGGCATCACACACACACACACACACACACACACACACACACACACACACACAC